AAAAAAAAAAAAAAAAAAAAAAAAAAAAAAAAAAAAAAAAAAAAAAAAAAAAAAAAAAGAAAAAAACCGCATGGTTGTGAAAAAAATGATGAGCAAAAAAATATTACCCGCCCGAGTTTGCACATCTACATTACCATTCCATAGCTTACCGTTAAAAGAAAAATAGTCCAAAATCCTCACATTGCGGAAATTAATACCGAGACTGTTTGAACACGTACGCCGCGCCTGCACAGCTGTACATGACGATGACCCGGGGCAAAACCTGGAACATCGTCCACGAGTACGTAAAGGCCTTCTTCTGGACGAACAGTCGACCCAAGTCACTTTTAATCGAGAGGATCGAGCCGTCGGGCCAAAACAACGTCATCGACCTCGGCTCTAACCCGTGGCGGTGGAGCAAGCGCAACTACACCGAGGTCATCGGCAACGTCGAGGACTTTCAGATACGCGGTGACTACATGTTTGCCACCAAAAAGGTAAGGCGCCTTTTTTTTCTTCTTCAGTGTTGCGCTGCTCCGTGTAAGAGAGTAAAAATGGGGATGAGGTCAGCCATTTGTTTTTTTTTTTTTTTTTTTTTTTTCCAAAGTCCAGTACTTGCGAGTAAAATGTTATTGTTTCCAATCACGTTGTGAAAGGTATCGGAGAGAAGAAAATAGGCCTCAGTCCTGCAAATAATTTAACACCAGAAAATTCTCAAGTGTAGGAAAAAGTGGAAAAAAAAAGGCACTAAAACAAAAACAAAATTTGGCAGGTGACAAAGACCATCAACAACGCGACGCAAACCAGCCTGGAGCTGTACGTGTCGTACAAAAACCAGGGTTTCGTGGCCGCGGAGTTTGACTCGTACCTCGAGCGTCGCGACTACCACGTGGCCGACGTCTCGTTCGACCGGATCTTCGTGGCCGTCTCGCACACCCCGACCCTCGTGAACCTCTACGTCTCGGAGACGGTGGACCCCAGGGGCGTCAAGTTCATCCTTTCGCTGTACAACATACTCACGTTCTTCCCCAACAGCACGTGGAAGGACAGCTGGCTCAAGTGAGTACACCTATATATGTATATACCCCGCACGCCGTAACAATACATCAATTTTATAATAAATCAGCAACAACTGCTTGAGTTTTTTCAAGGGCGGATTTCTTCGGGACTGCGTGCATTTTTATCATAATGAGTCAAACTGATGAATCGAAAGAAAATAATATACGAGCTATTCGAACATTTGAATCCCAAATCGATAAAAACGCGGTCGTATTTTTTACTTTGTTGTTTGCGACCCACCAAAAGTACCATTATTAACAACTGGATAACGTCGGATCAAGTCCATAATGAGAAACTCTCGCCATTGTGGCTTACATTTTTTTTTTTTTTTTTTTATTGTTGTGCCTTCGGGCAGAGATTGTATTGATTCATCGCAATAAAACAAATCCGTCGGTTGATCAGCTACTTATCGTCTTGAGAGAGAGAGAGTTGGTAAAAAAAACATTATGCTCGAATTGAGTACAATAGAAGGGTATATACCTAATTATGTCTGAATATTGAGGGTATCGAAGGTAGAGTTTGTTACTTGAGGTTGGATTCAGCTAATTAAAACAACAATCAACTTGTGTTTTCCTCAAACCAGCGACGTCGCCGACGAGGTGTTCACCGAGTTGTACAAGGTGGAGGGCCTGCGCGGGATCTACATAGCCTCGCAGGTGCAGGGGACCCCGAAGGTGAACTCGATCGGTCCCGAGCACCTGTTAACTTACATGACGTACGACCACGGGGTCACCTGGAGCCGGATAAAGGCCCCCGAGTCCAACCACAAGGGCTTCTACAACCACTGCAACCCGGACACGTGCTCGCTCCACCTGAGCCAGCGCTTCAGCCAACTGTACCCCGTGTCGCGCTCTGCCTCGATCATGAGCTCGAAATCGGCCCCCGGCATAATCATGGCCACCGGCGTCATCGGCTCGAGCCTCAAGGGCCACCCGGCCCTCTTCGTCTCCCGCGACGCCGGCCTCACGTGGAAGCAAGTGCTCCAGGACTACTACTTCTTCAACATGGGCGACCACGGCGGGGTCCTCGTCGCCGTCAAGTACTTCAAGACACGGGGCGAGACCAAGGACATACTCTACTCGACCGACGAGGGCGAGACTTGGCCGTCGCTCGAGTTCAACGAGAAGATGCTCAAGGTGTACGGGCTCATGACCGAGCCCGGCGAGAACACCACGGTTTTCACGATGTTCGGCTCGGGCAGTGGACAACACCAGTGGCTCATCATCAAGGTCGATCTCAGGAAGGTGTTTGAGCGGGACTGCGTCGAGGACGACTACAAGTTCTGGTCACCCGCTACCATGGCGGTAAGGGATTGTTCCGCTCAATTGGTTTTTTTTTTTTTCCCCACGATTTTTTTTTGTACGGGGTTTCATGTCCATTCGTTGATTGATTGCAGGACGTTTCAAAGACGTGCGTGCTGGGTCGCAAGGAGATTTACAAGCGTCGAGCGGCGCGCGCCAATTGTTACACCGGGGTGAACTACGATCGGCCGGTGAAGACGGAAATTTGTCCGTGCGACGCCATAGATTACCAGTGCGACTTTGGGTTCATACGCCAGACGAAGACGCAGTATCCGTCGTACTCTTGCATTCGCAACAAGACCTCGGGGGGCAGCGACCCGTGGGCCGTGCCGGATACCTGCGCCCCGGGCAAGTTTTACAACCGCACCAAGGGCTACCACAAGATCCCCGACGACGAGTGCGTCGGCGGCCGGGCTCGTGTCTTTGAACCTGACGAGGTATGTTGGTCTTGGGTTTTTCCTTTTTTTTTTTTCGAGAGATCAGCCGATCATGATTGTTGCTGTTGTTCCAAGATCCCGTGCCCGGTGAAGGAGTTACCGGAGTTTCTGCTGGTGGCGCAGCGCGAGCGCATATCGCGGATCGACCTCAAGGACCAGAAGATCGACGTCTTGCCGGTTCACGATCTCAAGAACGTGATCGCCATCGAGTTCGACGTGAGAAACAATTGTCTGTACTGGGCCGACATCGTCAACGACACGATCGGCCGCCAGTGTCTCAAGGACGGCAAGAGTCAGCCGGAGATACTCGTCGAGACGGATCTGAGCTCGATCGAGGGCATGGCTCTCGATTGGGTATCCAATGTTCTCTACTTCGTTGACGGGGTTAGGATGAGGATTCAGATAATAAGGACCGACATCTCGAGCATGGGGAGGATGCGAAGGACGATTCTCGGCTCCAACAACGTGCAGAAGCCACGAGGCATCGCTGTGCATCCGATGATGGGTTACATGTTTTGGACCGACTGGGCGCCCGGCAACGCGTCCGTCAACCGAGCCAATTTGGACGGCACCCACGCCAAGCAGCTCTTCTTCACCAGAGTCGAATGGCCAAACGGTTAGGAAAAAACGATGATGCATACGCGTCCTCTGCAACGTTGCCCGCGTGAACTTCATTGGGTTTGATCTTTGGGGTTATTGTTTTTCAGGTATCACCATCGATTACATAGCCGAGCGCATCTACTGGGTGGACGCGCGTCAGGATTACATCGGTTCCTCGGATTTCGAGGGCAACGGCTTCAAGAAAGTCATTCAAAGTGACGAGCGCGTCTCCCATCCGTTCGCCGTGGCGGTGTTCAAGGACAACATGTACTGGGACGACTGGAAGCAGTCGATGATCTTCCAAGCTGACAAGGACCACGGACTCGGCATCACACCGATCGTCGGCCAGCTGGCCGGCCTCATGGATCTCAAGGTCTACGCCCACAGCGTCCAATCCGGCACGAACAAGTGCGCCAACAACACGCAGTGCAGCCACATCTGTCTGGGCGCGCCCAACAACAGCTTCGTCTGTCTCTGCCCGGACGGGATGGTCATGCAGGACGGCAAGTGCATGTGCCCCGGTGGTGTCAAGCCCTACGCCAACTCAACGTGCCCCCGTGTCGCCAACAGCTGCGCCTCCCACCAGTTCGCCTGCGACAGTGGCGTCTGCATACCAGAGTCGTGGAGGTGCGACGACGACAACGACTGCGGCGACGGCTCCGACGAGAGCCACTGCGTCAAGTTCAAGTGCCAGTCGAATTACTTTGCCTGCGACGAGGAGAAGTGCATACCCAAGTACTGGGTGTGCGATCTCGATCGCGACTGCAAGGATGGAAAGGACGAGCTCAATTGCACCTACAGTAATTGCACCGGCTCGCAGTTCAGGTTCGTGGTTATTCCGCGCTCAAGCCAAAGAGTCATTACGATCGGAAGATTTATTCCCCCCTCCTGTTTTTTTTTCCCCTTCGTAGGTGTGACAATGGTCGGTGTATTTCGCATCGGTGGGTGTGCGACGGCGAGGACGATTGCCGCGATGGTTCGGACGAGAAGACCTGTCCCACCTCGGCCGTGTCGTCCTGCAAGTCGGACGAGATCGCTTGCAGGACCGGCGGTAACTGTATACTCAAGACGTGGAAGTGCGACGGGGAGACCGATTGCGAGGACGGCAGCGACGAAGACGACTGTTCGAGCTTCAAGTGCGAGAGCTGGAAGTTCGACTGCAACGCCAACGAGAAGAACCATCACTGTATTTACAAGGCCTGGGTCTGCGACGGCGATCGTGACTGCCAGAACGGCTCGGACGAGGCCAACTGCACGTCCCCGGTCCCGACGCCCCCGCTCACGCCCACCAACACCTGCAACGACTGGATGTTCGTCTGCAAGAACAAAAAGTGCGTGCCCTATTGGTGGAAGTGCGACAGTGTCGACGACTGCGGGGATGACTCGGATGAGATCGGCTGCGGTTTTCCCGAGGCCATTTCCACCGTTGCTCCGACCGACGACCGCGACCGACCCCACGTCTGCCGAGACTTTCAGTTCCAGTGTTTCAACGGTGATTGTATCGACACTTCCTGGATGTGCGATGGATCCAAGGACTGCGCCACCGGAGAGGACGAGCTTTACTGCAACGGGTCCTATGGGTTGGTATTTTGTGTTGTATAGAGCGTGAATTTTTGCATCCCCCCTAAAACGGTATGACCTTGTCGATTCTTTACAGGTGCAAGGAAGATCAGTTCAAGTGCTTCGTCGACGGCTCGTGTGTGTCCCTTACGAGCATTTGCAACGGGATCGTCGAGTGTCCGGACGGTAGCGACGAGCGAGGCTGCGACCACCACCAACCAAGCCCTCCACCAGTCACATCTTGCACGACCGGATACTTCCCGTGCGACGCGACGCGATGCCTCCCCCTGTCGGCTTACTGCAACGGCAAGCAGGACTGCTACGACGATTTCGACGAGATCAACTGCGAGAAGAACAACACTCGTATCTACCAGGTGTGTGGCCATCATCTATACTGCTCCCGATCATATTTCTTCGAAATTCGGATTGTCGTTATAGCGAGGCTTTCTCCGTGTAGGTACTCAATATCGGCGTTGACGAGAGATCGACCAACGCTTCGAGCCTCTTCCTCTTTTGGTGGATGCCAATACCCAACAATGTCACTTTCGAGTTCTTGCCCTCGATTGCCCTCGCTGAGCCCGGGGCCAAGTGGACCAACGCCTCCAAGTGGATCGAGGACACTGAATATCAGTTCACTCAGTTACACCCCCACACCCGATACAATCTTACCGTCTACGTCAAGGTCAAGGGTCAACCAACTGTTTTCCCTCCGGCTAGGTACGTTAATTTTGTCGTTGTTGTTATCAATTTCATTTGCCTCGTTTAATGAGTAGTTATCAGAGTAATGAAATATATTATGTTGTATAAAAAAAACACAAAGATATCTCCCGGTGATGACGGGCGAAGGCGTGCCAAGTCCACCGTGGGAAGTGACAGCTACCCAGAGAAACGGAACTCGCGTCGAAATAACGTGGCAAGCGCCGATGACTCCAAACGGCCTGATAACCAGCTACGAGGTATTCATGACGCCTCCGATTCCACCGACGTCGCACTATCCTCATCCACCGATAAAGACGTCCATCGTCATCGACATCGAATACGAGGCTGGAAAAAACTACTCCTTCTGGGTCAAAGCCAAGAACAAGGAGCACGAGTCTGTGTCGTCTAGCGTGGCGACTATAACATTCGACGGCTCGGCCAACATCGACAACATCGAGGACCTCAAGGTCGTCGACAAAACCAATCACTCGGTCACCCTCTCCTGGAAGAAGCTCAAGAGCGCCGAGAGTTACGTCATCACGCCCCGGGGTCCGCTCTCCTATCCGAACCTCGAGTCCCAAACGACGACGTCCAATCTGTACACCGTGGATGGGTTGGCTCCTGGTACCAGGTACACCTTCGAAGTGTGCGCAAGGAGGAAGAATTACATCGGCAAGCCGCTCTCGATAACTGGCATGACCAAGGACCAGCCGTTGCCGTCGGTCACGATATTAGAGCCAACGCTCATCAAATCTCACGGCACGACTGTCAAGCTTAGCTGGGACAGGCGCAAGGGCAACAGAAAGATCAAGTGGCAGTACGCCGTACATTATGCTCTCAACATGCTGGACCTTTACAAAGGTTTTTTTTCTTCTTTCCTTCCATATTGATGATTCAAAAAATGATTTATCAACGATTGTTTTCACTTCAGCACCCAAGCTTTTGACGACGAATCAGACAGTGACGATCCGCGACCTCGAGGCCTGCGAGTCGTACATCTTTGCAGTTGGAGTTCGCGGAGAGTACGGCGCCGGACCACTGAGTCAACCGGTGACGATAACCACGGTCTTCAACGCCAAAGCACCGCCCAAGAGGCTCAAGGTCACCCGATCCTCCGAAAAGGGCGAGTCTGTAATCGTCCTCTGGGAAGCCAGTTGCCAGACAATCGAAGAACCCATTGGCTACAAGGTCATTTGAATTTCCCTCCATTATTTTGGTCTTTCAAGTTTTGTGTTATCTTAACCAAAGCGCTCTCGTCCTTTGCCAGATCACCGTCACCGAGCTCACTCAGAACAAGACCTCGGCGTACAATCTGCCTCCGACGAACGAAACGAGTCTCAAGTACGTGTTCCGCAACGTAAAGACCGGTGGCAGGTACAATATAAGCGTGTCGACAGACACCGAAGGCTCGCTGTCCAGTCCGGTCGTCTTCTTCAATGGTCCGCCCATTTTCCCACCCCATCAGATCAAGGTGTTGCGTGAGGGTACCAAATTCCTGATCTACTGGCATGAACATCAACAGATCGACTCGATTGAGGGCAAGTACCATTACGAAGTGTTGGTCAACGAGGGTGCGAACCACATAGACGAGACCACGGCGATGACTTTCCCGGCCAATCAGCCGCCCTTCACCTATAAAGACGCCAAGAGGGACATCAAGTACGCGTTTACCGTGCGGCTCGTCACCGACGAGGGCTTCAAGAGCCCCCTCAGCGAGGTCTTCAGTATCGTGGAGACACAAGGTGCCCCACCTCTCCTGCTATATAATCCGAAATAACTACGATGATGATGATGATGATGCACGATTAACTTATCGATTTTCGTCGACTCTTTTACACAGGCAAGGAATGGGCGGCGCCCATCAGCACGAGCAACTTCCTGTCTCTCTTCATATCCATTCTCCTGCTCGTGGCGGCCCTGGGCTTTGCTTTTGCTTACTTCGTTTTCAGGCACCGAAGATTGTCCAACAGTTTTACGCAGTTCGCCAACAGTCACTACGACACGAGGAGAGGCCAAGCTACTTTCCCTGGCACGTGTGACGCAGGCTTAGGTAAGGCAACGTTTCGCACCTGTTCATCACGAGTGATTGGGCGACGGGGTGATGGTGGGCTTTGTTTTCATTTATTTATTTGTCACGGATTTTCTTTCAGTAGACGACGAGGACAACCCGGTTATTCGAGGCTTCTCCGACGACGAGCCGTTGGTCATTGCATAGACAAGGGCATTGCTGTCGCCGAATTATGCGCATTTCAACTGAGATAACAAAGTCGAACATCATGAACGAGCTAATGATACTGTAGTATGATCACCTGCAAGTAAGTCGCTCGAGGCGCGAGGACGATTCCACACACACACACACACACACACACCCACACGTACACGCGTGATTTCTAGTCTCAGTGCGTCGATATGTCTTGTCCTGATGCCTATCATGTATATCAAACGAAAGGGAATGTGTGATGGTGGTTCTCGATTTGATCAAAAAAACGGGACTACCCAAACGAGCCACGTTCGGAGATTGCAAGCCAACTCGGAAAAATCACGCCATTACGACGACACCAATGTTCTATTAGTAAAGTTTAGTATAATTTTTATACTATGAATAATATGATAAAATGATCGATCGAGAGTATAGGAAAGCGTAGAGTAGCCGAAAAAAAAAAAAAAAAAGTTTAATCTGCGTCAAGGAAGAGGAAGGATATTTCCTGTGGCAAAGAAATACGTATAATAAAACCGACTGTTTACGAGTTATTATTTTTATAAAAGAAAGAAAGAAAAGAAAATAGAAAAAGACAAAAGCGACGCGAGTTGTGGAACGAAATGTTGCTGATTTCTTTACATACCAGCCCCTCTCCCCTGTCAAATGATTTTACAATCCAGTGTTGAAGCTCCAATCTGGTGCTCCTCTGCAAGAGACATTCGGGATGCCATAATTATTATTACACGTATGTGTATACAAGTTGATTTTTTTTAATCATAAGTTAATTTAGAATATAAGAATTTTGCCCTTCTCTTGATGTTTTTTTTTTCTTTTTTCATACGAGCATCAGAAAAACTGTGTAATTCTTTGTTTAGTTCATTAAGAAACTTAGGTACTGAGATATTGGTATAAAAAGTTTGAAATTGAACAGTGCTACGACAAAATGATATGTTAAAGTTATTTTTTATTTTCATTTCCTTTCTGTTCTTATACGAAAACACACGTACCTGTTCCTAAATATACGTGCAATGCGCGCCGAGCGAATGTTGTAAGCTTTTTTTTTTTTTTTTTTTAATTTATCCATACACTAAATACATTGTATTTTACTTTGTTTAATCGCCCTACTTTTGAGGTACACAAAAAGTAATTTTTTGTAATCTAAATTTTTGATTTTCTAAAAGCTATATATATCGTACAATTGAGTAGGAAGTGTAAAAATTTCTATCGAAAAAAAAAAAAAAAAAAAAATGTACAGTGTCAAGTTGAATGAGATATATAGTGGCATTATCGATTTTACAAAATGATCTCATGTTTAACAAAGAAAATTCTCTTATTTGATTCATTCAGAATTACAACAATTACCTCGCCCTTAATCACTTGTTATTTTTTGTTCTCTCTCTCTTGCCGTTTGAATATTTATTTAATCTCTACTAGAAGAATCGTTATAATTTACAAAAGGGACGCTTCGTACATTTATAAAATAAGACATATTATTTAGTTGTTTAATGAATCAAGTCCAAACAAAATAAATAAAAAATGCCGCCTTCGAAGCTGTAAAAATAATTTTATTTCAAACTCTCTATTGAGAAACTATTCGTTTAGAATCATACGGATTCTTTGCCAGTTTACAATAAATATATAATTGTAAAATCGGAAATACTTTTTTAAGAAAAATAATTTTGTTTGTCATTTTCTTGGATTCTTGTAAAACGAGTCTTTGTGTGCGTTTGCTTATGACAAAGTTATTAACTTTTGTATTTTTATTGATAATCAACGAATGGTAAAAAAAGCTCAGCGTCACGTTGAACATGTCAGTTTAAATGTTGTTTATTTTTTGCATTTAATACAGTTTTGGCGTTTAAAGAAAATAATACCTTTTTTTTAAAGATGTATTAAAATAAAACGAAATACAAAAAAATTTGTAAATCAGATACGATTGAAAATATTTGTATCACACTGACTAATCGTCCTGTTAATCGGAAAGACTGATTGTAACTTTTTAAATTACAACATTTCAAAGAGAGTTTATAGTGGAAAGCACGAAACTCGAAATACTATATAACGATAATTAAGAAAAAAAAAAAAAAAAAAAAATGTACAGTGTCAAGTTGAATGAGATATATAGTGGCATTATCGATTTTACAAAATGATCTCATGTTTAACAAAGAAAATTCTCTTATTTGATTCATTCAGAATTACAACAATTACCTCGCCCTTAATCACTTGTTATTTTTTGTTCTCTCTCTCTTGCCGTTTGAATATTTATTTAATCTCTACTAGAAGAATCGTTATAATTTACAAAAGGGACGCTTCGTACATTTATAAAATAAGACATATTATTTAGTTGTTTAATGAATCAAGTCCAAACAAAATAAATAAAAAATGCCGCCTTCGAAGCTGTAAAAATAATTTTATTTCAAACTCTCTATTGAGAAACTATTCGTTTAGAATCATACGGATTCTTTGCCAGTTTACAATAAATATATAATTGTAAAATCGGAAATACTTTTTTAAGAAAAATAATTTTGTTTGTCATTTTCTTGGATTCTTGTAAAACGAGTCTTTGTGTGCGTTTGCTTATGACAAAGTTATTAACTTTTGTATTTTTATTGATAATCAACGAATGGTAAAAAAAGCTCAGCGTCACGTTGAACATGTCAGTTTAAATGTTGTTTATTTTTTGCATTTAATACAGTTTTGGCGTTTAAAGAAAATAATACCTTTTTTTTAAAGATGTATTAAAATAAAACGAAATACAAAAAAATTTGTAAATCAGATACGATTGAAAATATTTGTATCACACTGACTAATCGTCCTGTTAATCGGAAAGACTGATTGTAACTTTTTAAATTACAACATTTCAAAGAGAGTTTATAGTGGAAAGCACGAAACTCGAAATACTATATAACGATAATTAAGAAAAAAAAAAAAAAAAAAAATGAAAGAAAGAAAAAAGTTACGTGGTATATATAAAAATAAACAAAATACCAATTATAAATAACAAGTAGTTAGTCTAAATTATCGAAATAAAGCCAAAACTGAGCATCGATGCAAAATTTAAAGATTTTGTAGCCAAGCTATTATTGTGCATCATACCTATGAATTTTATTAATCCAAACAAGCGTGAAATGTACACAATGTATTTGCATGAACCCTATCTAAAAAAATGGCAAAAAATTTTTGTAAAATGTTGAGGAAAAATATTTTATAGTAAAAGCAATTGGTGAAAATTCGAAGTTCTTAGCCACTCGAACTCAGTTTTGCTTGCAAAGGTATATATGTATAAAATAAATCTAGTATAAATATAATGACGACTTTTCTCAACTTTGCAACTTTACCGAAGATTGGGTTTTTCGAGGCGTATACATATACATATATATATTATATACATATTAATATTCTATTACATGTATAAGTAAGTAATTAATGAGGCTTGACAGAGTCAAAGATGAAGGGGTGGAAAGAAAGAGAGAGAAAGAATGATCGGAGTAGATTAAGAAGCGAGAATGAAAAATAAATATGTAGATAATTGATAAGGATTTTTGAGAAAACCCCCGTGAAAACGAATAAGAGTTTGAGCGACGTATTGTACGTAAAACATAAAAATTCAATTATTTACAAAAAATGTGAGAAAACAAACTATACGTTTCATTGAGTGATGAAAGTATTGTATTGAAAGCACAAAAGTAAAAAAGTACGCCAGCGACTCCAACTCGTCTTCGTTTCCGCGCCCGGGTGATTCCGAAGGGAAAAAAATTTGCCAACATTGTTGTATAAACTAAGAAGTTGAAAAAAAAAAAAAAATTAATGATAATACCAAAAGCGCACGTCTGGTGCGCGCTGGCGCTCACATTGTAATAAGCAAATTTACGATTTGTCCTAAAAGTATGGAAAACTTTTTTTGTACGTTTCGCTCGTCGCGAGGAACACGTGAGAGAAGGATTGTGTAATCGGCGACGATAACATGAAAAATGTGAATGCAGAAGGAAAAAAAAAAAAAATTACAAGCTTGGATGCTGTCATGTTTTATATCATACGAGAATAGTTGCTAGAAGAGGGGAACATTATTTGTAGTTGTTACTACGTGTACATCTTCGATGATTATACAGCGATAACCAGTGATATTGATATAATATATTATATATTATTTACGTGTAAATAAAGCAAGTTAAGGCACAAACAATACATGGATGCACCAGTGTTTATCGATTTTATTCACCTTTTTGTTAAAAAAAATCATTTACCAAACATCAGAGACAAAAAAAAAATTCAGGACTGACATTTTTTTTTTTTTTTAATGAGTCGAAATTTGTATGCCGTCACAATAAAAAATGGCACTTTGGCAACTTTTCATTGAGTCGCTATGAACTCTCTCGTCGAGATTATTGACTATAAACGCGAGAAAACTATATGGTGTACTTCTTGTGGGCTCTTATAAATATTCAACTTTCACCGAAAATTTCAACAATTTTAGTACAGATCTATTCGACAGTCACACCGCGGTTACGCAAAAAAAAATCCAAGGTATGGGCCACTTCCCATCACGACAACGCGAGCCGTGTACTGTAAAAAAAAAGTTACTCCTCAGCACCCCATTTTCCGGAAAATTGTGCAGCTAAGTACATTGATTTTTCCCGCGGCTCAAATTCGTTCCGTCACCCGCCGCCTGGCGCCGCACAGTAAAAAACCACCACCGATTCCGCGTTTGCATTATGTTTATCGCAAAAAACCGCAACCCAAGACCCTCGTTAGGCTCTCCCGTGATCATAACCGGACGAAAACGCTCATCGAGCTCTCGATCGACTTATCCGATCGACGGTAAACCGCAAAGAAATCACTAACCGATCGAAACCCGCAAGCGCACAGAAAACCCTTCGGTAAGTATATAAGGGCCGCGATTACCGGGCCAAAGTCGGTATGGTCCGACACTTCCCAACGACAGTGACGTAATCACCGGTGTCCCGAAGTGAGGACGATCCGGCTCGGCAGCGAAGAAAGGGTATTTTGCAGGCTGGTTTTCCCCGTAGAGCTGCTCTCCCGAGAGAGTGACATTTGTGGCCGCGATCCGTCGTCGGCGAGGGCACGCCGCCTTCGTCTGGATGCCCGGCGATGAGCGCCATCGTAACATCATCGCGGGTTCGCACTCAGTGACCACGACGGGGATGTCGATGCCTATATATACGATGAGATCTGTGGCCGGGGCAACACAGGCCCCCCCTTCGGGGGCACGACAGGCAGGGATCCATTGGTACACACAGCTTCGATCGCGGTTAACATGGAGATATCATCCCCCGGTCGTGCACGGTGGAGGGAGCTGTTCATTCGCGCAAGAAGCAATGCGGGGCAGGATGGGTCCAAGCCCCCCTTCTGTCCTGTATCCGTATACTTGAGCGGAATCTCGAGGCTCCCGATCATTTGGGCGGCGAAGAGAGGAGTCGCATGTGGAAGTAAACAGACCGCAACCAGTTCACAAGATCAATCACTTTAAACTCCGCCGGTCGGCGTGCTCGACCTCCTCGATGTTTACAATCTAAGATTGTTGTTTACCCAAGCGAGGAATAGTACATGTTATTGAACTCTTTCTCTGCTCTCTGGTAGTTGCTGAATGTTGTGGAAGTACAAACGTGACCATACTTTTGGCTGTTTTTATTCCCATTTTTTTTCTTCTTTTTTTTTGCTCTTTATTTCCCACAGGCCACGATTTTATTCATTACATCCACCCTAAATTTTTAGTATTTTATTTTTATTTAGTACATTTATTGTATTTCATTATATGACACAAGACTAACTCAAATAGCCTTTTTTTTGTAATAATGTTGTTGAAGGATGGCCCAAAAAACGTAAAAAAATGGCCCAAATGACATGATGGACATTTTAACTAAAAAAACATACTGTGGTGCCATTTTTGGGTATTGTGCTTTCTTTTGTTTTGTGATCTAGCGTTGTTGCGTTGACATGATGATACGTATGTTTTATTGCAGTTTAAAAGAGTCAAGATGTGAAAAGTAAATTACTTTTTGACTTTATGGAACACCCAAAACGTCACGCTTTTGAAATATACTGTGGCTGAAACTTGTTAGGTCCGTTCTGGGATGAAAAAAAAAAAAAAAAAAAGACACCTAAAAACGAAAATAGATGTGATTTTTGTGAAATTCGGTAAAAAAGGAAAAAGCATTAAACTCAACGTCCAAAGTGCACAGATTTTGTAGAATAGACGATGGATTAGCTATTATCTGGACCGCCAATTTCCGTAGTAACACTCGTTTTCAGGAAGTCGCCGGCAAGTGGGCATCGGCGGCACCTGACGCACCTCGAGTCGTAATCCCTTCCCGAGTTCAACTCATCACCGACGTTCATCGTCAAGTTGCCGAATTTACATTTCATGTAGTCTTGAAAACAAAAAAAAACAAAAAAGAGAAGCAAGTTTTCTCCACAACTGCACGGATGAAGTATAACAACCGTACGTAATCGTCACCTGGTGCGTCGTAGAAATTCCTCAACTCCCCGACAGTCCACGCGAATCACAATGTCCCCTCGGGTTTCTGGAATCGTTCGAGTAAGTACTGTTATTTAACGAAATTGGCAAGTAATCATAAACACTCAAGAAATGTGCGGATAAACTCGATTTCAGTACTATTTGTAATATTTTTTGTAGGACTTTATTAAAAAAAAAAAAAAAAAAAAAAAAAAATATAGGAATGCACAAAAAACCTACCACGATAATCTAAACCGTCAATAAAGATGTAGCAAAATTTCATAGAGCCTATAGTATAATAATTTTAATATGAAATACAAAAAAAAACGTATTTACCAAATGATTTTTTACAAGATAGTAATGACACAATTGTAAAATCATTTTGAAGTAATCAAAAAATTTCAGTAACTATAATTTTCTAGTTCATTAACGATAAAATTAACTTTTTAGATTGACCGTATCAAATTGAAAATATATGTATACATATGAAACAAGCTCGAGGATGAAAAGTACAGCAGCACGATAAACTCACGGCATCTGTATCCAGTACTCTAATTTTTCTTACAAATACGCTGCAAAATTACTTACAACTATGGCAGTTTAAAAAAGTTGGTAAAAACAAACAAAAATTGAATGCCGAAACCCGGGATTGAACCGGGGACCTTTAGATCTTCAGTCTAACGCTCTCCCAACTGAGCTATTTCGGCCGGTGGGAGAGTCTGCGTAGAGTGCAAATCTGACCCTCGATGCCCCAGCCTTGTTTTCCGTTGATCATAATAAATAGCTCATTCCGAACTATTTCGTCATATCGTTAATAATTGAATTTATCGACGTAAAAACATTGATTTTTTTAGTTCAAAACTTGAGTTCGATCGTTTTTTTCAATAAGTGGAAGAAATTACTGAAATTTATAATTTAAGATGAAAAAAAGCAAAAGTTATAACTATCAGTTAAATTTCATCCCATATTTATATCTGTAACATGTTAGTTCAATTATAAATTATCAGTTTTGATAAATAAAATTTTATCATGCACATATCACAGAAAGCACTGGTTATATTCACTAATTCGATTACTAGTGAGTTTTTGTAGTAACATATGAAAAAATTCACAAAAAATATCCCGTTTCTGTCCCCCATTTTAATAAAAAAATTTTTTTTGAGGCAAACCCTTAAAACCAGGCTCATTTTGCTTGCAATATCATGTACTGTGAGAAAAAAATCATCAACACCGGTTTCGATAGAGGTGATACCCTTTTCCCGTTATTTATATGTTACTTTTTTTCATTCACTTATTAGAACTATTAATACTTTTTAGAATTAGAACTTTTTAGAAAAAAATCAACTCTTGTCTTAAATCTCAATGAGGTAATGTGTATTTTTTAAATTCAATTTAAAAAAAGAAATGTTAATGCCAACGATATATGCCCCACCTCGTTGTAAAACTGACGAAGTATTTATTTACAATGCGTGTCGGACGAAAGATTAGTTTTTTTTTTTTTTCATACGTTTGTAACAAATTCGAATTGGCCAAATTATTGAAGTGAGAAAAAAATTCATGTACATAGTGTAAATAATAGCAGGAAAATCGAGTAAAATTTGGTTGAAAGTAGGCAAAAAGAAGCTTGTATTTTTTAAACTTAAAACATACTTTTACAAACCACAACGATAATTTTCCTACTCACAAAAATAGTTGTGGCAAAGTTAAAGAGACTCATACTTTACTCTCTAGTCAAGTAAACATCGAAACGATCAAACATTTTCCAGTAACTTGACTGAGTCTTTTTAATGGCTTCAAAAATTAATTCAATCCCTGTGGTAAAAAGTCCAATCACATGAAGACTAATTAAAGTACGCAAGCATGAGACATCACAACATCTTTTTATTGTTTTTTTAATTCAAACTATTGTTCATTATTATTTTAATAATAATAAGATTATTCAAGATAATAGGTATCATGTGATAATAATCATAAATATATTTTATGTGATGGGTATCTTTCGTAGTAAGTTTATTAAAAATATTAGGTGTCTTTTGATAAAAGTAGAAAAATTATTTGAATTACTGGATGTATTTTGATGATAAAAGTAAGATCATTTAAAATAATGCATGTTAATACTTAAGAATACGACACTTTTAGAGTTAAATTAATTCTTTTTTTACAAATGAATTTCACGACGTACTTATTTGCTCAAAGTGTACTTATATTTTAATTCTAGACCAATTTCGTGGTTTCATTGATTTCCTGATGTATCCTATACGTCCATTTAATTACATTTACAATTTACATACGTTATCTTGTGAACGATTTTAACGATTTAGGTCAATTTTAAATTTATTTCACACACCCTCCTGGGGGGTGGGTGGTATACTTCACACTAGTTAACATACCCCAAGATTTCAGAAAACAAAATTTAAACGTCTTGATGAACGGGTCATCGGCATCCTGTTTTTAATTTTTTTTTTTTTTTTTATAGCGCTAGAAAATATCCTGAGTATCCATAAAAGGTTCCAACAACTCATCCATCATCTTCACTCAGCCAAAAATAGCGCGAAGATTTAAAATAACGCGAGACACGTCTCCCACGGCCATAAACATACAAGCCGTTTCTACATAGAAATAGCTCGCCATGTTAATAAAGTAATCAATTATCGTCTCGCAGGGGCGTAAAACGAAGTAACAGGAAAAAAAAAAAAAAAAAAAAATAA